AGTCAGGGTCAGGAATCTGAGTATGGAGCTGCTTTGTGATATTGAGCAAGATTCTCAACCTCTCTGAGTGCTGTCAGATGGAAACCTTCCTTTGTAGACCAAAGAGCTGAAGATGTTGAGGAGGTCTCCTTTCCCTAATTAGAAGGCCCCCAACCTTCCACCTCCTCCTTCCTTTCCTTCTTATTCCTCTCCACCCACCCACCATCACCTCCACCACTCGGTGGTGTGGATACTATTATTATCTTTTCCAAAGGAGGCATTGAAGGATCAGAGAGGTGGAGTTACTGACCCAGGATCACTCAGCCAGGTGTTTCTGGCCTCAGTTTCAGCTGGACTTTGGAAAGCTGACCCTGCCCTGATTCTCCCACTCTTCTCTTCTCACGCCTGTGAATCTCATCCAGATCTTCCCTCAACTTCTCTCCCTGTCTCTTGTGAGCACCTAAGTCAAGATCCCATCATTTCTGACCCTGCAGCACCAGCAGCCTCCTTGCCTCCTCCCAGGTCGCCCCCGACCCGGGTTCTCTGCAGTCTGGCTGGCACACACACAGTCAAGTGAGCCTTTTAACACGTATTGCTTCACACAAGGTCCTGCTTCTTGAGGCTTCCCTTGCCTGCGGAATCACTCGAGCCTCTCTCCCACAGCCCTGTGGCCCGTGCTGCCTGGCTCCAGCTGCTCTCCTTCCCGTCTTGCTCACAAGCTCCAGCCTCTCTGGCTTTTTTCAGTTTCCCAAACACAACAGCTTGCTGCTGCCTGGCGCTTGCTTTGCGCTTGGCTGCCCCTGCCTTCTGGGAAGTTCTACCTGCTTCCTCTTCCTTCTTCAGGCCTTGGTTCAGACGGCCTTCCTCACACCACACCACTGACCATCATCCCACCCAGCCGTCTCCTCCATTTTTCTTGTTTTTCTCTCAGTCTCTGTCATGTTGACCTGCTTAGGGTTTGTCTCTCCACTGGAATGGGAGGCCCTCAGGGAAACTCATCTTATTCATCTGTGTCCCCAGGACCAGACCCAGAGCCTGGCACTTAGGATGTGCTCATATTTGTTCAATAAAAATAAGACCTTCCTAGCCCCAAGTTCTCTTGTAAACTCAGAAAGGTCTTTTCATTATTATATTCCAAAGCAAACTCCTGACTCCTGATTTCCCTGTGATTTGGAGAAGGGTGTGTGTCTAGGGGTACCCTGGACATAGATCATGGCCATTCCAGGTTTTTAAGAGGAGCCTTTTGCCAGGATGGTGGAGCAGACCCACAATCCTAGCTATCCGGGAGGCTGAGGCAGGGGAGGGGGGTCACAAGTTTGAGGTCAGCCTCAGCAACTAAGTAAGACCCTATATCAAAATAAAATGGCCCGTTGTGGTGGCGCATACCTGTAATCCCAGAGGCTCATGAGGCTGAGACAGGAGGATGGCAAGTTCAAACCAGCCTCAGCAAAAGTGAGGCACTAAGCAACTCAAGGAGACCCTGTCTCTAAATAAAACACAAAATAGGGCTGGGGATGCAGCTCAGTGGCTGAGTTCCCCTGAGTTCAATCCCCAGTACCAAAAAAAAAAAAAAAAAAAAGCAAGAAAGATTGGGGATGGGGATGGACTTGTGGCTCAGTGGTATGGTGCTTGCCTGGCATGTGAGAGGCCCTGGGTTTGACTCTCAACACTGCATATAAATAAATAAAAACAAAATTCCATCAACAACTAAAAGAAATTATATATATATGATGTAGCTCAGTGGTAGGGAGTCTGGGTTCCCCAGAACTGCAAAACACAAAACAAAGCAAAAAGAGGGGCCTGCCTATTCTACATGGTTTCCTGGGATCTGGCTTGGGCACCTGCAGTCTGAGTTAGGTGCTAAGACTTCAGACAGCTCTTAACACCTAGAAGGTTCCAAATGCTAGTGGCCCCATCAGGTGCCAATGTGTAAGTGACCAGCCAACCCCCAGACTTCACAGATATCTGTGAAGTTCTCCAATCCAAATGGAGGTCAGTGAGTGTACCTTAGGAGGACAGAGGCCCCCCAGATTCCCATACATGTGTTCATTCATCCTTTAACTGCTGTATTTACAGACTGTTGCCCAGAACCTGGCACATAATAGCTGCTCAGTAGATGTATGTTAGAAGAATTAATTTATTCTATACAAGCAACATTTACTGAGCACCTACTGCATGTTAGGTCCTGTGTTAAGAGATGGAGGACAGATGGTGTACATAAAGCAACTGGTGCTGTAAGCCCCCTTCCAGGCTCACTAGGATGCCTCTAAACCCTCCCAACTCAGCTCCCACTGGCTGCCAGGCTCCAGGCCCAGGGCTTCTCTCAGAATTGAGGTGTGGCCCAAGAACCCCATGCCCCATAAGACCTTAGATGGCTGCATCCCACAGCTACAACTCCCCAGATCCTACCAGTCCTACACACCTGCTCCTGCAGCCTCCTTTCCTCCTCCCTCCCAAACCCTCAGACACCGCCATCTCCCCCTCCCAATGCCCTACATCTGCCTGAGGTTTTACCAGGAGAAGCCAGCAGATGGCGCTGAGGCACCCCTTTCCCTAGCGCTGGACCAGAGGCCAGACCCCATCAGGACCCTCTCCCTCCCTCCTTTCTCCCCAGCAAGGCCAAGAGTGGATTCTGTGACCTCCAAATAACCCCTTTCCTCCCTGCTGGCTCCTATGTTGGAGAAATGAGGAGGCTCCAGTTGCTCCTGCAGGCCCTCTAGCTGTCTGGGGGGAAGGGAGAAAGGTCCCTAGGGGCCAAGCTGCAGCTGGTGGGGCGGGGCAGGCAGGGCAGGGCAGGCAGCAATTGGCAAGACAGAAAGAGAGAAAGAGAGAAAGGAGAGAGAAGGTGCTCTGGCTCCCAGCTTCTATCCCAAACAGGTCGACTTCCCAGCTGAGGCTTGCCCCCAGGACCAGAGGTACGTGGGAAGAAGCAGATGGGGGGGAAGGGGGCTTGGGGTACGGAGGGGCTGGGTAGTGAGATTCTACAGTTCAGTGAGAACCCCTGAGTCCCCTCCCATCTCAAAGTGACCAGGTAGAAACTTGGGGGGCAAGGGAAGAAGTCCTGAGGGGGGCATCAGGAGGGGAGGGTTGTTTCATTGCTGCTCTGATTCATTGTGTGAGTTTACACCAAGCTCTTCCATCTCTGAGCTTCAGTTTCTTATCTACAACCAAAAAGGTGGGGGAAAGATCCCGAAGACCTTCTGTGAGATAACTGTACGAAGAGTCCCCTTTCCAAAGAGGGTAGCTCTTCCAGGGCCTCTGGAAAACTCCTAAGATAGAGGAACGCCCTCCCAATAGTAGAAATTAGACAGTGCGGGTAGGGAATTTGTTTGGACAGATGGGTGGTCTTTCCATGTCAGGGACCCTGGGACACTGGTCCCTAACTTGTTTTTTTGACTGGTACTTGAGGTGGAGAATGTCAGGATTGAAGGGGTGGGGGGGAATCTCTTGCTGCCTGGTACTCCAGAGGTCCTCTTATTAGGGAGAGGGCCATGAGTGCAGGACAAGGACACCTCTTTGCCCCCAAGATCAGAAAAGGAGTGGGTTGGCCAGGAGGGTGTGTGCTGGCAGAAGCAGGCCTATTGATGCTCACAGGGTTATGAAGCAAGGGTCATCCAAGCCCTTTCATTAGCTGTGGCTGCCTGCTATGTCTCCAAATCCCTGAGCACTTTAAAGCCATTAGCTCAATCACTGCTTACACATTCAGTCAGGCCAAAATGGGTGTGGGGGGCTGGCCTAGAGCTGCCCTCACCCCTACCCACACACACTGCTCTTAAAGAGAGATTGTTCCAGATTGTTTCCTGGTTGCAAAGGCCCTACCATACCACCTACCACAGGAAGCTTCTAGAATATCAGGGATCCTGAGCATTACTCTGAAGTCAGTCTGAAGGGAGAGACAGTTGAGTAAAGGCCAGCTTTGGGAATCAGAGCAGCCTGGGTTCAAATTCTGACTGCTGTGGAGCCTGGCAGGAGCCGAGTAGCCTGTCCAAGTTGCAGTCTCCACCTGTGCAAAAGGCACACAATAGAGTAGCACCTTATGGAGCTGCAGTGAGAATTAGGCCCCCCAAATGCAAGTAAAGACCAGCACAGCAGGGTGTCTGGTACCTAGCAGATGCCCATTATTGCTCATTAGGGAGATTAAAAAGGCAAAGGACTGGTCTGGGGTTTCAGCTAGACTAGACCTCCAGTGGGCCAGAGTACTGCCTTCTGGGTCCCACAGTAAACACTTTGCACTTGCTGTGGTCACTCCTGTCCCAATTATGAGTACTCCTCTCTGCTCACTCCTGCACCAGGTAGCAAGACCGCGGGTATGGGGGGAAGGTCAGGGGTTTAGGCCACTTTGGGGTGGGGTGGAGGCACAAAGGAGCATTTCAGTGGCTCTGTCCTCCCTTCCCCTTGGGAAAGGGCAGGGATGGGGGGCTAGGTCAAGTCTGGGCCGGGGCTGACCACCGTGTGGACACCGGGAACCCTGCTGCTCCAGCACCGGCGAGAGTGAGCCACTGGGCCGCCAGTCCGGTAAGTCCCAGGG